GGCACAGGACAGTGGGGACCCCCCGGGCTGAGCTCCCCTGCCCGCCACGGCCCGGGAGGGGGGGCTGGTATTTTAATTGGACCCCCCTCATTAGCGCCGCGTTCATTAGAGGCTCAGAAGGGGCTTTGTGCGCGCGGGGACAGCGGGCACAGAGTGTCCCCAAGGCAGGGCCGAGCGCCAGGTGCGACATTGGGACACCGGGGCGGGGACACCGAGACCCCCCCCCGCTCCCTCCCGGGGCCCCCTCTGGGCTGCGGGGCTTTAGGGGACCTCAAACCCACCCGCAGGGCTTTTGGGGGACCCCAAACCCCACCCCGGGGCTTGTAGGACATTTGGGGGACCCCAAACCCCACGGGGGACCTGCAGGACCTTTGGGAGGTCCCCAAAGCCCACCCCGGGGCTTGTTGGACATTTGGGGGGACCCCAAACCCCACGGGGGACCTGCAGGACCTTTGGGGGCCCCAAACCACCCCCCCCGGGGCGGGGGGCCCCCCTGCAGTGCCCACCCAAAACCAGCCCCTCTGGAGGAAAAGGGGGGGGGAGCACCCACCCCCCTGCAGTTCTGGGGGGTCCCGTGGTCCTGCCGGGCTGGGGGATGGGCTGGGGGGGGGGGGGGGGGGGGGGGGGGGGGGGGGGGGGGGGGGGGGGGGGGGGGGGGGGGGGGGGGGGGGGGGGGGCTCTGAGCCCTGAGGGGGGGGACAGGAGGAGGAGGAGGAGGAGGATGAAGATGAGGAGGAGGATGAGGATGAAGATGAGGAGGATGAGGAGGATGAAGGCTGAGCCACGATCCCATTAAAGAGCTTAAGGCAGCAGGAGGGCGAGGGGCGGCCCCGGGCGGGGCGGGATTAGGGGGGGCTCCTAATCCCCACCCCCTCACACCCCCCCCGTAATTAACTCACTTTTCCCTGCGGGAGGAATCCCCCAATGCCACCACCCCCTGTCCCTCTGTCCCCACCCCTGTCACCTGCAGCACCCCTGGGGGGTGGGGGACACACCCAGCGTGCCCCCCCAGCCCCTGGACCCCCAAACCCGCCCCCTACTGCCCGAGTCACCCCATGGGGACGCGGGGGGGTCACATCCCCACCTCCCTGTGGGAGGGGGGGGGTCACCTGTCACCCATCCCACCCCCCCTTATGTAAAACCACCTCCCCGAGATGCTCCTTGCGCCCTAATCTTTGCCATCTTGGGCTAATTGGATTTCCTGGGTCACATGGCGAGATAAAAAGTCCCCAAATCCCGCTGTCAAAAAAAATCAGGTTATCCATGGGGAATTAAGGGCCAGAGCCGGGGGGCAGCCGAGCAGGAGCACCCACCGAGCAGCTCTTCGCTTGGGGCACCCCAAAATCCCAGGAGGGGGGAGGGGCTTCCTTTGGGGGATCCCCCAGAGTTTGTCGGTTCTGACGCCCCCTCGGCAGCGCCCACCTCGCCCCCGGGGTGTGCGTTGACTCGACCCCAGGAGAGCTGGAAAAGCCGGGGGACCTAGAGGAGCTTGTGGCGTTGCTGGAGGAGGAGGACGAGCAAGCCATGGGCAGCGGGGCCAGCGCCGAGGACAAGGAGATGGCCAAGAGGTCCAAGGAGCTGGAGAAGAAGCTCCAGGAGGACGCCGACAAGGAGGCCAAGACGGTCAAGCTGCTGCTGCTGGGTGAGGGCTGCGGGGTGTCCCCAGGGGTGGTTCCGATGTCCTCACCCCGGTGGAGGTTGTGTGGTGTCCTTGAGGGTTGTCCCCATGTCCCCATCCCATTGGAGGTTGGGTGGTGTCCCCAAGGGTGGTCCTGATGTCCCCACCCCGCTGGAGGTTTAGGAGTGTCCTCAAGGGTTGTCCCGATGTCCCCACCCCATCAGTGGCATTGGGACCCCCCGGGCTCCTCCTGTTCCCCCTCGGAGCTGCCACCGGCCAGGAGAGGCTGTGCCACCCCCTGGGTGTCCCCAGGGCTGTCCCTGGGAAGAGCTGGAGGTGCCATCGGCCCTTGGGGTGGCAGGGATAGACGGGGGAACACGGGGAGGGGACGAGGACAGCGGGGCTGTGGCACATCCTGGGGGTCACAGAGAGCCTGGGGAGCTCCTGCCACCAGCACCCCCAAATTCTGGGGGGTCCCTCTGCACCCCAAGGGGCAGGGGGTGACCCTGCAGGGTAGAGGGGTGACCCCCCGGGGTATGGGGTGGTACCCTGGGGTACCCCAAGGGACAGGGGGGTGACCCCCCGTGTCAGGGACTGTGGCGGGTGGGGGGGCCGGGGGTCAAGGCGATTACCACCCTAATTCTAAGCGGCTTCCTGGGCCACCCTAAGCCGCTTACGAGGCACCGCCGGCGCCGCCCGCGGGCGGGTGGGACGGGTGGGACCCCAGGGACCCCCTCCAGGGGGGTCTCCACCGCCCCCCGCTGCGGCCCCACGCGGAGCGAGGGGGGACAGGAGCGTGGGGACAATGGCAGGAGGCCGGGCTGGGAGTGGGGGGTGGGGGGTGACGGCGGCTCTGGTCACCTCGGGGTGCCCGTCACGGCCCCGCTGAGATTCCCACCCTTTTTCCAGGGGCTGGAGAGTCAGGGAAGAGCACCATCGTGAAGCAGATGAAGTGAGTAGGGGGGCTGGGCAGAGGGGACACCCCCCATCCCCCCATAGGATCCCTGTCCCCCCCCTCCGTGTCACAACTCCATTGACTCCCAACACGGGGAGGGCCGGGGGCGCCCCAAAGGGGAGCGGGTGCCCCCCAAAAAAGCAGGAGGGGGTGCTGAGGCCGCGGTGCCCCCCCAGGATCATCCACCAGGACGGGTACACGGAGGAGGAGTGCATGGAGTTCAAGGCCATCATCTACGGGAACATCCTGCAGTCCATCCTGGCCATCGTCCGTGCCATGTCCACTCTGGGCATCGACTACGCCGAGTCTGCCTGCGCGGTCAGTGCCCCCCGAGCCCCTCCGACACCCCCCCCGAGCCTCCCTGAGCTCCCGAGAGACCCCCGAGCCCCCGAGAGCCCCCGAGAGCCTCCCCGAGCTCCCCAAGAGCCCCCCCGAGCCTCCCCAAGCCGGGGTGAGGGGTCGGTGCTGCCCCCTCATCACGAGGGCGTTTTGGGGGGCTGTGGGGGCATCCCGTGGGTGTGGGGGGGAGGACGGGGGGTGGTAAGGGTGCTCTAGAGGGGCTGAGGGTGCTGTGGGGGGGCTGAGGGTGCTTTAGGGGGGTTAAGGGTGCTTTGGGGCATTGAGGGTGGTTTGGGGGGGTTAAGGGTGCT